AAGGGAACAGGATGGTGCCCTGTAACAGACTCCTCCCTGTAACTGCCTCCGTCCCAGGAGGGGGAGCCTCAAGCAGGCATGACCACTAAGATGAAGGGACTGGAGCATCTGCCCTACAAGCAAAGGCTGAGAGAGCTGGGGCTGTTGGAGAAGAGGAGGCTGAGGGGGGATCTCATCAGTGCTTATAAAAATCTGCAGGGCAGGTGTCAGGAGATGGGGTCAGACTCTTCTCAGTGGTGTCTGGTGACTGAACAAGGGGTAATGGTCACAAAGTAGCACACAGGACATTTAACCTGAATATGAGAAAATATTTGTTTACAGGCTGCCCAGGAAGGCTGTGGAGTCTCCATCTGTGGGGAACGGTCCATCTTCTTCCCCCACATCAAAAATGCCTTCCAAACCAGCAAAGCAAGAGCGAAGCCTGTTCACTGATTCAGCCAAGGACGGAATGAACAGGCCTCTTGCCCTACCAGATAAGTCCATGGCAAGAAAAACAGCATAAGGGTCATGATAACTGGCAGAAAAATGGACAATAGGTTAAAAACTGCCTTTGACAGAGTATGTACCTGGCCAGTGCTTATTGGCTAATTCAGACAGTGATACTTTCTCGAACACTGATCTCTGATTTATAAAAAGGGCAAGATCTGCAGGGCTCTGCTCTCTCTGCCTGCCTGGGACAGACCCCGCTGCAGCACCTGAACCTGCCTGAAACGCCGCTCCCGCTGCCCGGAGACCGGAAAGGGAGGCGGAGAAACGCAGACAGGGGGGCGCCGCCTGTGCCCGCCCCCGGGGACCCTGCCTGCCCAGCCTGGACCGAACCGGGCCGGATAAGGAGCCTGCCCAGCCTGCGTCTGCCTCTGAGAGAGGTAAACACCACGTGTGACCCTCGGGCTCATTCACAAACCTCTCCACATTGGGAGGGAAGTCATGGAAACATCCTGACAGCACCTGACACCTTGAGAAGTGTCCCTTCCCTTCAAACCTCTGGCCCACCCGCTGCAGGCAGCAGCAGCCAGACAGCCACACGCTGTCCCACCTTCTGCCCTTCCCAGCACAGCCAGGCTTCCCTGCTTGCACTCCCCCTCCTCCAGCCACTCATCCCACATCTCCAAAGCACAGCAAACAACCTCCTCGCCCCGAGGAGCCCAGGAGGGAGAACAATCTCCTTACCTCTGAGGAGTCCCTGGCGTATTCCTTCTGCTTCTCCTTTGATGGCAGAGTCAGATGCTCCCACAGAGAAGAGCAGGGAGTGGTAGAGGACAGTCAGCTCCAGAGGCAGGGCAGGGAGGGCAGCTGGCAGCCCTGTGATCACAGCCAACCCAACGAGAAACTCAGCTGGCTACAAACAACCCACCACCCACCCTAAGGTGTCATCACCTGCCTTTGTGGCAACACAAGTGTCCTGGCAAGTATTTTGTGGTGGTGGTGGTGTGATTTAATGGCTAGGGGGCTGCAGTGCCCAGAGAGACAGCAAGTGTCACCTCAGGTGCTGGCACTGCTTTAGATGGCCCTTCCCCAGCCACCCGGGTGCTGCAACCCATCACAACCAAGAACTTTCAGCTCTCCCAAAAGAGCATCACTAGTGTACCTGATTCCAATACACATCCACCCTTCTGCACACGTTTCCCACGCTGTGTCCCTCTTCCTCACATCAAGTTTCCTCTACACCACAGCTGTGGCAGGGAGCCCCCTCCTCCCCTTCCCAGGAAAAATGTTGCCACAGTTTTTCCAGAAACCCCAGAGATCTGCCCACATCCCCCAGTAAGAGCAGGTGAAGGTTCGGGCTTGGCCTTAACCCTTTTGCAAGCCCAGCTCAGCTTAGGGCAGCAGGGAATGTTCCATCCCTCAGCCTTCAGCAGTCTGTTTCTAGCACTGAAACACAGCCCGGCGTCTGGGAACGGGTGCAGCAGAGGGAGGGAGGAGGAAGGAGTGGGGGGACCCCCGCTCACCCCACATCCTGA